GAGGATCGAGAGGGCTGCTGTAGTGAAAGCGCTGCGATGCCGTCCGTGCCCATTTTATCTGGGCAAAAATTTGCACTCAGTATATACGTCGGCACTATTGCAGCCGCGAAGGAGCGTACTCCTGCCAGTTGCAAAACCGCTCCTGCGACGTCTGTCTTCCCATGTCAGATCTTTAACCTGGTGGCCGCCCGTGTCAGGCTCTATGCAAAGTGATTGTTGTTGAAAGAAATTTTTGCCAGTCGAATGAGGAGTCCACGGCTGGACATTTCATTGTGAGGACGGAGGCAAGGATCCGGAACTGGTGAGGCCCATTCCCGAGGAATTTGTGGCATGAACTCTACTTCTGTTTTAGATTCTGTAAATATCGTTTTTTGAAAGGTCTCGTTTTGCTATTTAATACGCATGCACGGAAACCTCCGTGAAGATCGTGCCGGCGAAACGGCCATCGGTCGGTCGTCAAACCGTTGCAACGGGACAACCACACCGCCTAAATTCAAGAGATCTAGTGGAGGAACTCTTTGGGTGTAAAGACAATGGTATTCTATTGGTCTCCAGCTGAACATTTCGACGGCCGCTTGACGCATTGACGTGGGCCGACTGCAAGACCAACCACACTGTCGCTCTTCGTGAATGTTGCAGAGTGGCGAAAACAAGAGAAACGAGCTGGGTCCCGCAGTGGTGAAAGGTATTGGCATCTCATCTGTAGGCGAATACACTTTGGCTAAAAATCTGAAAGGAAGATAGCCGCCACAAGCACAGTTGAGTCAAAAAATCGGTTGCCGTAGTCCCAGCTCCACAGAGCGACAGGCTTATTTTATATACCAGCCTCGTTCCCTTCAACGATGGAGCACGTAATATTCGTTTTTTTCCTCGTAATGTAAAGCTGATGCTTATCTTTTGGTATAATAGTGAATGGACAGTAGTGCTGCATGCAGAGTGTGATGTCCCTGATGTCATGCAGATAAATTAGGCTTTTGCACAAGTTTTCGAAGAGCTTCGTAGAATGGAGATCTATAAAGTATCTCGATGAGTCCCCACCGGACATTAAAGAATTCGCTGTTTTTGTTTCAGTCCTATGCCTTCCTGGAAAAAAAACTCCAAGTATATTGAAGGTCTTGATCCTTAAACAAATAATGCAACCTGGTACAGAGTTCTACCAGATGTTATTGTTATCAGCCAGTACACAAACTGGTATAATATGAGCTGTTGGCATATTGCTCAAGATTTGGATCCTGAAGCTCAGGAAACTGGCAGCGTATCGTACAACGCTAACAGATTTGAGGGTCGGCACCAGTGCGGAAAGCTAAAGAACCTTGAGCTTTTGCCCCCACTCTCGCATATTCTGCTTCAGTCATTGCAAAATTGAAGACACCATGTAACCAATTCACAGAAGGAATATTCGAAGAGGCTCAAGCTCAATACACTGATCACGCTGGAGTTTGATCCAGCGCTGCTCGTTGTCTATGTATCAAGAAAAGCTCCGTAGAAATAATTTTTTAGTAACCTATTTTCGCTTTGCAAGACACACCCCACCGGATGGTCAGCTCACTCACTGTCTCCCCTCTCCTCACTTTTCCGCAAAATCAATTGCAGAAGATATTCATGAAAGATGTGTGTACTCACACCACTACTGCATGCGGAGGAGGTTTTCTGTTTGAAATGGGGGTAAGTAATGATATTCATCATTGTCTGTTAGCAGAAAAACATATCACAATGCTTGGTTATAAGCCCTAGTGGTTTTCCCTGCAGAGAACGGTGACGCCACCAGCTCCACGCAGAGTCAGCAGTGCATCGTCCAACCCACAAGTGCAAACATCTGGCTCCCTCCTGTCTTCAGGTACGATTCATGGCCAGTTGCCTTTATCATAATATTTATATGATCCTTTCTCTCCAGTAGGAGCATAAGCAGCAGTGTAAGCTCTTCTCTACTCTGACCCAAGTGAAAATGGATGAATCCATTATCCCGTCGCATACATGTATTCCACGACAAGGTCCTCATGAATGGAGATAGTACCGTTGTCTGCAAGGCCCAGTTCCTCAATCTTCCCTGTGCTGCCAAGTATCTCCACCACAAGCTCGTTGAGACCTCGTCCTGGCAAATGGAGAATTTCAAGAAGGGCTGCAAGATCCTGCAGGACTGTCGACATCCCAATATCGTTGCTTTCCTCGGTCTCCACAGCGATAATCGCCTGACGCAGCCGATCCTGCTCATGGAGCTGATGGATCAAAGTCTAAAGGAATTCTTGGATCACCGTAAATTAGATCTCCCGCTTTACCTGCAGCTTGACATCTGCAGTGACGTGGCTCAGGGTCTAGAATACCTGCATGCACAGGACATCATCCATGGAAACCTGACAGCCACCAACGTTCTGGTCAAGAGGGGGAGGGCAAAAATCTGTGGGTTAATGACCCTACAGCCAATCAACACCCCAGATGGGGAGCGTTCATTGTGCCCAGGGGCACCAGAAAGCATGCCACGTCGCTCCTTTAGCTGTGCCGACTACGACGAAGCCATCGACTGCTTTTCGTTTGGAGTTCTCGGAATTCACATTGCCACAAGGGAGCTACCTAAACCTCACTCTCACGTTCGCGAGTTGACTGAGGTTGAGAGGTACGAAGCGAGTCTGCAGAAGGTTGAAGAGGAAAAGCATCCTCTGTATCCACTCATCATAAAGTGCTTCAATGACAAGGACAGCTTCCGACCATCAGCCACAAAGCTCTGTCAGGATCTGGACAACATGATCAAGTCCTCAGCCTATCGCAACAGCCAATCAGCAGAGCACATTTCTACTGAACTGGTCGGCCTCCAAATCGAATACTTTCAAGACAGACTCAGTGAAAAAACTGAAGAAAATAAGGTCCTGAAATGCAAGCAGAGTGAGCATGTATCAACTATTCAAGCACTTCGTAAAAAGCAGACTGATATGGAAGCATCAATGGAATCTATGAGAAATAGTCTCTCAATGATGACTCTGACAAATAAAGACCTCGCAGAAAAAGCTGAAGCAGCCACCAATGAACTGGAAGAATCAAAGAAGCAAAGGAGTGAAGCAGCGCATGAGAAGGACCGAATGTGCAAAGATCTATGGAATGAAAAATCTAGGGGCCAAATAATGCGCGGCAAGATAGAGGAACTCAAGAAACAAAAAGACGACTACAAAGACAAGCTTGAAGAATCTGACAAGGGCTTCGCAAGAATGCTGTCTGAAACGCAATAAATAAGATTTAGTACCGCTTTTGTAGTTTGTTGTGATTCATGTTTAGTGTGTGAATATAATTCTGAACTGATGATGATGATGATGATGATGGTGTAATGAATTATTGCGTGTGGGTGTGGCAGGTGGGCGGGGCTAGACTGGAGTCTCCAGGAAGTCAAGTTCTCTGAAGGAGTTTCTGAGCATGCTCAGAGTGGACGAGACCAGGTAGGGCCCCAGTAGTACTCACTACTGTGGCCTCTGCGGATGGAGGGAGAGAATGGGCTTGAGCAAACTCTAAAATAAAAGGGTTAACCAACAAAAGTGTGCTAATGTGCAGTAGGATTACGTCTACCCCCATTTTCTGATAGATTTGAAGGGAGAATACTACTTTGAATATAGTATTATGACAAAATTGTGACGACAACACAAATTTTAAGGTTTGAGAACCATAGTTTCTCAGTTTTCAATCGTCAAAAGTTTCCCACGTGATTCTTATATATAGAAGCCACACGTACCTCCAGTCCTCTCTGGAGATGGCGGTGACGGGGGACAAGGCTGGAGGAGGAAATGAGACGCCAGGTGGACCGCCCGAATCCCCGCCCGAAGCTCCGCCTGCGGGTGGCTCACTGAGGTCGCCACTATGGGGAGAAGAACAGTACATGTAGTCACTAATGCTAATGGCGGGGTAAAGTGGAGCTTCTGGTAAAAGCCAGATGAAAGTACAATACGGTTAGTGATGATGTAAGGTAAGGCTTTGAAACCAGACATTGAGGTATTGGAATGGGACTGACCTCTGGTACCAGATCCTCTCAAAGACAGTCTTGGGCGAGGCGGCAGGGATGTCAGTAGTTCCCCTCCAGACCCAGAGGGGGACTCCGTCACCCATACTCACATGAGACACCTCCACACCCTCCCCTCCCTCCTTCCTCACCTCCTCACTCCTCACCCAGTCCTTGAACCTCCTTCAAGAGAAAATAAGCTAAATGCAGCTACCAAACAACTCGATGAAGTAAACAGGAAAAATCTCGAAACTGTACACGAGAAAGAACGAATGTGCAAGGATCTGTGGAGCGAAAGAGCTAGGGGCGAAATAATGTGTGGTAAGATAAAAGACCTCCAGAAAGAACGAGATGGCTATAAAGACAAGCTTGAAGAATCTGACAAGAACTTTGCAAGATGGCTATCCCAAAGTTAATAGTTATACTCATTCATGTTTAGTGTGTGAATATAATCTGAACTGATGACGATGGTGTAATGAATTGTTAAGTGTGGGTGTGACAGGTCGGTGGGGCTAAACTGGAGTCTCCAGTCTCCAGGAGGTCTAAGTTCAGGAAGGGTTTTTGAGCATGCCCAAAAGAGCTTGATCAGGTAGCTATGGTGCTGTCGTATCTACTCGCTACTTGACAGCAAATTGAAGTGATAATCATAGGTCACGTCTTTGCAGGGTAACCATTGGTCTGCTGTGTCAGGCATTGCCCAATAGGCTTCAAGAATGATTACGCTTTACTAGCCACACACTCTGTCACACACAAAATATCATAAGTTGTGAGCCACTGCAGGTGTCCTATTGTATTTGTTGTGGTTTGCTTAAGCTGACAACTGCCGATGCTGACATGCATGGAAGATAAGTGGTGCAGGATTTTCCCCTAGCAGACTGTCAAGTGGCAGCTATATACCATGTAGGCTGAAAACAGCAGCTCTCTGAATACCTAGCCACACATACAGGGCAACAGTCAAATCTAAAAATACTGGTGTGCACTTGATGGAGTAAAGTGATGGTGCAAACTGATTACTTCTCCACTCTAACGCCAGACCCACTCGTAACTTGGCGCATGGGCAACATTATTTTGATAATTCAGCAAAGTTTATAGTTGTGGCACAATCATTAATATATTTGTCTTCGTGTGTTTTTAGCATACTTCTTTCTAGCCTTTTGCTTCATCATTTTGCTCCTTTTTTTGTTTAGCATCGTTTTTCTCTTTTTAGCAGGGGGAGTCACCTTTTCTATGATCAACTCGGACTCTTCAACAAGAATATCCAAGTCAGATTCCTCATCAGACTGCAAAAAGTATAGACTCACAATACTATTGGTAAACCTTATGAACCTTACATCAGAGTGGATAATATATGTGTGGGATTTCAAATACTGTAACAATATTTTCATCATCATCTTCAATTCCAAGTCCCTTTGAAGTGCTTGCAGGTCTATAATATTATAGTCACAGGAACACCTTTTAAACCACATAGGGGAAATGCTTACTTGAAATTTTCAGCAGTGGGAGGTAGTGCTAAGGTTGCTTCAGATCTGTGATGTGGCGGCTAAACATTGAGTAAAGTGCAATATAATTGTTGATGCAGTGTACTTACAGGTATGTTTAGCAGTTGATGAACCCATTCCTTGGTGGATATCAATACAACACGGTCTTCAATTGTATTTGGAGTAATTGCACTCAGCTCTTTTATAAACACAGGTGGGACAAGTAGTGGTGGGATTATAAAATATAAGCAAAAGGGAGAACTTTTCCCAACGTGGTGTAAAGGACTGCGAAAGCCATTTGTTTGTTTAAGTCCATTTTTGACATCTCGCACTGTCTTCATGGTCTTCTTTTCAACCTCATCTGGAAGAGGCACTTTAATAAAAGAGGAAGTGGGGCACGAAGGTGTGAATAATATGTTCTTGACGTCATCCAGATCTGTTTGCTGTTCAAACTGCTCTATTTCCTTGTGAAAAAGATTCCAACTGCCCCTTTAGATCGGAATCACCATACTCTTCAATTATTTCTTCTAACAAATCATCATGAAGCCAGTGGAGGTACTTATTTTGACTAATAATTGCACATATATCCATGGTTGAATTAGAGTGACGTATCTCATGGTGATCATAATGCACAATCATATGTGCAGGATTGCAAACAAAAACTCGAAAATCATCAAGTGAAACTTTCTGGGCTTTCTGGAGTTCATCAATGAAACGAAACGTTTTTATTCTAAGTGAATTAAAGAGTTTAGCCATTCGCTTCATCTCTTTCTGAACTTCTGCTGGAACTTTTTTAGCATTGTAATCTAACAGGAACGCTGACCACTGATAACACTCATAAAAACTTTTACCTTCAAGCATTTCCAGCTCCATTGATGCCTCTGGGTCATCATCTATAACAGTATATACACAATAGCGTGTTGTAGCAACTTAATTAACGTGTCACCTGAACTGGGCATGTCTGTGATAGGAACAGACTTTCTTCGTGCCAGATTCAGAGCAAGTGTCCTTGCACCCACACTACGGGAGAGAAGAACCTTGACAATAACTGACCATAAAGATTTTTCATTGCCAATTTGTGTCAACCACTCATTCATCATTTCAGTAAAGGCTTGCTCTGAGTCATCCTTGTACTTCTGACTAATACAATCCAACTTTGACTGGCAAATCTCCAACTGTGTCCCAATAGTCCTCCATTTTGGCTTCATAGCGTGCAGCTCTTCTACCAACTCTCTAATAAGTTTAGGATCAGACATTGCGGAAACTGACCTGCAAGTGAGTGGTCGCGCACGCATCGGCCGATCGCTTTTATTAAAACACCCCCGTGGTGGTAATTAATACTTCATCCTTACACCCGGCCCCGCGCACAGGCGCTAGGGGGCGCCCGGGCAGCGACGATTTCCATGCAGCAGAAATTTTGCGCACGCGCAGACGCACACTCAGTCGCACAGCAGTCGGCGAGCTGAGCTGCGAGGATCATGTCGTCCGCTAAGGCTGACTTCCAGGTCCCGAAGCAGGCTGACCTAGAACGGGAGTTATTCTTTGTAAAAAAGAAGTGGTACAACATCGGTCTTCAGCTCGGTGTATCAGAAGATAGATTGGAAGAAATAGAAAGCGAATGTAATGGCGGCAATTTCGAGAAAGGGCTTCGTTATATGCTTCGTGAATGGCGCAAGCAACTCGAGCCCAGCCCCACCTGGGCCGGTTTAGTTAAGTCCTTGCGCGTATGCACGGTGAACGAGCAAGACCTGGCGGCTAATTTGGAAGAAAGATTCGTTGTCGTAGAAAGTACGGACCACCATCAAGCCCTTGCGTCGCCTGTGTCGCGATCCTCGCCTCCGAACCTTCGTAAGTTAAATAAATAATGCTCCACTAGCTAACAAGCTAAGCTGTTTGTTTCTTTATTCAAGTTAACTGCAGTGTCGTCATGCGGCCAGACGAAGTGCCTGATGCGGAGGTACAGCGGCAGTTAGATCACTTGTACAGCCTATTCGAAGAGCTTACCATGAAGGTTTACACCTATCTTAGTGAGATAAAGCTGGATCGGAAGGAGTTTGCAGTCCTTGTCTCGTCTCAACCGCCATCATGGAAAATCAAAAGGCCAAGGAAAATACCAGATGTCGATTTTCAGCGCATCATCGACCCCAATACAGAGTTTTTCCAAATGTTTTGCATAGTCAAAAGGTATGTTAGCTGGCACAATTACGAGCTACTGGAGAAAATCGTAAATAGGTTTGGAAATGCCGACCCTTAAGCTCCAAATGGAGAAATACCGCACCGAATTAGGCGATTTCGAGCAGCATACTAGTGCAGAAGTGCTAAAAAATATCCAATTTGCAATAGCACAGCCAGATTCTGTCGCCATCTTTGCAATCCTACCGCAGCATAACCTCAACCAATTCGCAGTCAGTGATATTCGCCTCCTCAAGCACAAGATTGCCGAAAAAGCCGACCTTGAACAGGCTGCTGTTAGCACATATATGATCGTTGAAAGCTCCGTTAAAATTATTTTTTCTAATTCCAAATGCACTTGCACCGTATGTGATGGTTAGTGCCCTCGCTGTCTCCCCACTCCTCACATCCCAAGGCCCATTGCCTGGAGATATTTGTAAAAGGGCTATTTACACAATGAATACGGAGGAGGTTTTCTGTTTGATGGGGGTAAGTGATAATGGAATGATTGCAATGAAAATGCTATTCATATATACCCTTGCCTTAGTCTGTGTACTAGCCCTAGCCCTATATAGTACACACACTAACTGCAAGGGTATCTCATTGCAATCATATGTAGGTCCATGAGTAGGTCACATGTTTGAAAGAGATCAAATTCATAGTATATAACTATTTCCCTGTTGTAGAGAACCGTGACGCCGCCAGCTCTGCAAAAGTCTGGTAGCCGATCACACATGCGACAGATGCGTCCGTCTGTCTCTCTGTTGTCCAGGTATTATTCACAATCATTGACAGTCATGAATACACAATCAAGTGTTTTTTTTCTTTCTATGAAGCTCTGCATCTGAGTGCTCAAGGCTAGCAGAAGATGGTCTTCCTGTGATTGCATGCAGCCAAGTTAAGGTTCACCAACACAAAGTGATAATGAATGGCGACAGTGCTGTCATCTGTAAGGCTCAGTTCCTCAGCCTTTCCTGTGCAGCCAAATACATCCACCCTGAGCTCAGCAAATGTTCGAAATGGCAAGTTGAGGATTTCGAGAGGGGCTGCAAGCTCTTGCAGAATATCCGTCATCCGAACATTGTGTTACCTTTTGGCATCTGCTATGATGAAAGTGTGGTTGGGCCCATTCTAATAATGGAGCTCATGGATCTTAATTTGAAAGATTTCCTCGAGAAATCGCACCAAAGTCCACTACCACTGCACTCACAGCTCGACCTCTGCAGTGACGTGGCCCAAGGTCTAGAGTACCTACATTCGAACAACATCATTCACAGCAACCTGAATGCAACTAATGTTCTTGTTAAGGGAGGCAGGGCGAAGATTGGCGGGGTAACATCACTACAGGTGAACGCACCAGAAGCAGAGCTCTCTGTGGGCTCTGGCGCTGCAGTTGGTCTGCCTCGTAAGTCATTTAGCAGTGGAATTTTACAACGAAGACATTGACTGCTTCTCATTCGGTGTTCTTGCTCTACACGTCGTCACACGCAAAATGCCACAGCCTCTGACAAAGATTCTCGAACCAGAAGATGCCACAATCAATGAGGTCACACGGTACAAGATAAGTTTGGACAAAGTTGATGACAACCACCCCATGCGTCAACTCACTGTTGACTGCTTGAATGATGTGTCCTTTCAACGCCCCTCAGCTGGAGAACTATGCAAGCGGCTTTCAGAGATGAGTAAATCAGCAGGTTATCGAAAGAGTCAAATGGCTGATCTTCTATCCACAAAACTAGTCAACTTGCAAATCAAGTTCACACAAAACGCAATCCACAAGAACGAGCAAGAGCAGAGAAAATTGCTTGAACAGTTACAAAAGAAGGATGAAGAAAAACGTGAAGCGGAAATGAAAATGGAAGTTGATCGAGAAAACATGCAAAACACAATCACAATGCTGACTCTGCACAACAAGGACCTTGAGGGAAAGGTTGCAGCAGCTAGCAAGGAGCTCGATGATAAGAAAACCGAAGTCAACAAAATTTCAGCAGATGAAGCGGAAAAGACGGCAACAATGCTTGCCAAGATAAAAGATCTTGAAACAGAAAAAGCCGGTTACAAGGAAAGAGCAGAGGAAGCTGACAGCGGTTTAGCGCGATACTTATCCCAACAACACTAGTATATTAGTTTTAGACTTGGGTATTATATCCCTCAACCTTTATATAACAATGTATGTACGATGACATTGTGATTTTATACTGATGATGTGATGATGATGATGTGGTGGATTGAATGGTGGGTGCGGTAAGTGGGCGGGGCTAGACTGGAGTCTCCAGGAAGTCAAGTTCTCTGAAGGAGTTTCTGAGCATGCTCAGAGTGGATGAGACCAGGTAGGGCCCCAGACTTCTGTTGTAGTACTCACTGCTATGGCCTCTGTGGAGTGAGGGAGAGAAAAACTCTAAAACAAAGCGTATAAGGAGTACAAAAGTGTGCTAATGTGCAGTAGGATTACGTCTACCCCCATTTTCTGATAGATTTGAAGGGAGAATACTACTTTGAATATAGTATTATGACAAAATTGTGCCGAGAACACAAATTTTAAGGTTTGAGAACCATAGTTTCTCAGTTTTCAATCGTCAAAGTTTCCCACGTGATTCTTATATATAGAAGCCACACGTACCTCCAGTCCTCTCTGGAAATGGCGGTGACGGTGGTACCATGAGGACAAGGCTGGAGGAGGAAATGAGACGCCAGGTGGACCGCCCGAATCCCCGCCCGAAGCTCCGCCTGTGGGTGGCTCACAGAGGTCGCCACTATCATGTATCGCCCAGTGGGGACATCCCTGTGCCATGACCTCATCAGGCAGTGGTCCCGGTCGCAGAGAGGGGGCGTGGCTCTAGTCACGTACTGGAAGACTTCCGTCTGGGGGTCAAGGGTCGCGACCTTCCAGCTGCTTACCATCGTCTTATCCCACACATGTCTACAGAGGGGGAGAACAGTACATGTAGTCACTAATGCTAATGGCGGGGTAAAGTGGAGCTTCTGGTAAAAGCCAGATGAAAGTACAATACGGTTAGTGATGATGTAAGGTAAGGTTTTGAAACCAGACATTGAGGTATTGGAATGGGACTGACCTCTGGTACCAGATCCTCTCAAAGACAGTCTTGGGCGAGGCGGCAGGGATGTCAGTAGTTCCTCTCCAGACCCAGAGGGGGACTCCGTCACCCACACTCACATGAGACACCTCCACACCCTCCCCTCCCTCCTTCCTCACCTCCTCACTCCTCACCCAGTCCTTGAACCTCCTTCGAGACTCCTGCAAATAAATATTTTTGAGGTATATACAAATTTTTGCTAAAAGTTTTGAGGTGCAAAATTTTCGCTAGTAACCACCTCTCTCACTTCAGTCTCACCTTCAAGATGGTGGTGATGCAGCTGTCGAGGAAGGACTGGCTGGTCCCCATTCCATACTGGTCGCTGGCGGTGAGGTTGTGGTATGGAACGGGGCCACTCAGCTCCAGATATGAAAACTTGACGACCTGTAACTGATCAGCTGCCACCTTTGGTCCAGTGAGAAGAAAGAAAGAAGTTGAGGGACAGTCTCAGTAAATTACTTACTCATTTTTATTAAAGTGTCTAAGAGAAAGTGATCCTATGAAGTACTGAAGAACTAACCTGAAAGATTTCTCTGCGATGAGTGATCATCAGTTGAAGACACCCACTGGACGTCTACGGAACACAACATCCACTCATCACTGACACTACACACTCTCAGTCCCACATTCTCAGTCCCACACTCTCAGTCCCACACTCTGTAGGTACTACTTTCACTCTAGTCCATTGTGACAACTACGCTCTAAAGACTTGCACGCTCACTTTTTACTCTCTCTTTCTCCTAACTTCTACGTGCACAGTATGTCAAACATGCCATTAAGAACGAAAGTGCGCCATGGAAGGTTGCATTCATCTCGTTATATACCTTAGTCATTAAAAATTTGCAGTTAAACAGTTTTAAACATTTGCAGTTAATAGTCCGTATGTTGTATGTGAACTACTGACCACAGTCTCAGTGACTTCCTTGGTGGAGGAGAGGGAAAGAGGCGACCCACTGTTGTTGATGGTGTGTCTCTTGAGGGATGGGATGCGGGGGAAAGGGTTGCCAGGGTTGGCCAGCGGCCTGAGCGGTGAGGAGGAGAGGGAGAAGAGAGAGGGCGAGAAACACAGGGAGAGGTTCTTGGCGTCCATCTGCAGAGAGAGAGAGAGAGAGAGGGTCAAAGTAAGCAGAGAAAGAGAGGATGACTTGCTTTGGGAAATACGAGAGCATGTGACTATCATGTGACTATCACGGATGCATAAAGGAAGAAGGAAGGAAGATTGGATGTAAGTGGCATGCATGTTGAAACAGTGGACTATTGGTAGGCAAGATGCCGTATCCTCTTTAGAAGAAGGAAGTTGTCCACATGTGATAGGCACACAGCAACTCTTGCTGCAAACAATGTTGGCCACGGACGTAATTGAGCAACGCTCACAAAATACTCATTTTCAATTTCCACCTGATTTCTTGCCAATGTGTACAACTGTTGCCATGGTGACCCAATACTGTCATTACTACGACGACCAGGGGTAAGGTTTACATTCCAATCATTCAGGAGTGACCACATAGATAGTGGAACCTCCGAAAAAGGACACTCGGAATTAAGGAAAAGTCTCTCCATAAAGGACGCTTTGTTCTGTCTCATACTTACATTAGTAAAGAGGGAGACGCCTCTACAATTGGTTCTGTCCCATACATTAGTGTACGTCCAAATAAGGAACACCTCTCTTGTTCTGTCCCATACTAATACATTAGTGTACGTCTAAATAAGGGACAGCTCTCTACAATTGGTTCTTACATTAGTGTACGACCAAATAAGGAACCCCTCTCTTGTTCTGTCCCATATATACTAATACATTAGTGTACGTCCAAATAAGGGACAGCTCTCTACAATAATTGGTTCTGTCCCATATATACTAATACATTAGTGTACGTCCAAATAAGGGAGACCTAAATAAAGGACACTTCCGAGGTGTCCAATATGTCCCTTATTCAGAGGTTGCACTGTATATATAGCCCAGTACAGGGTGGAGTGCTAACATTGTCAGTGGACCAAAGAGAACTGAAGACACTCACACCCTGTGTGCGGAGCAAATTGCCACTCAGACATGGAGGCAGCTGGGGGCGCCAGCGGAAGTGGTGGGGCAGGCTTGCCAAGACAACGAGGACATGGTAATGGAGAGGGTTAGCCAGGAATGTGATGACGAGAGAGAGCCTCATGGCCAACATGAATTCCTACCGCCTGTGGGTTCATTATGGACGCACTTTGTCCTATTTGACCAGTGTTGGGGGCTATTAGGATAGGCATGCTCATCTGAGGGTCTCCGCCCTAGGCCTTTATTCAGTTCATGGAGGCACAAATTTATCCGTCCTCTTAAAACTATTACTGGCTCCATACTGAATGGTGCGTCTTTGGGCGGTGAAAGGTCTTTGGGCGGTGAAATGAAATACACTGCAACTGTTGCATTAACATACATAGGTTACCCGTTTCACATTTTAGCACTGGAAAAAACTGAAGATAATTTGCTGACCACGAAAATTACTGCTGAATGGAACAGACGGAGCACAATGAATCGAAAAAGAAAGCCTCTACTTTAAGAGCATCCTTGTAAAGACCATGACATTGTCTTATCTATTCTCTATATGGGACGTGCACGCAAAAACCAACCTACGCCGCATTTTTGTAGTAGCAGTAGCTTTTTTGTTGTCGTTGGTGTAAAGCTTGAAATGTGTGCTTGATAGAGCGCTTATTTGTGTATATTTTCGGGAAAAACCCTTTAAAAGTTACGAATTTTCAACGCGCGGGCAACGCGGGGCGATACAAACGCGAACTAGAGTCGAATGCAAGTTTTCCGTATTCTTGTCCGCGTACGAATAGATGACGTCACGTTACGGATTTTTCCCCGGAAATTTTAGCCACCAGTGGTTTGACAGCAAAGAACGCTTTCTATCGGCCCTAAGCGGCTGATAGACTTCAGGCTTCTCTGTAAGGCGATTCAAGCGAAGCAACGGCTTGACTCTGTGCGCCATCTTTGCGACAGATGCAGTACCGTTCGTGGCTGTCACTCGTTAGACAGGTCGTTCGATGTGTTTCGTGAAAAACTAGCCCGTGTGTGCTATGGAGCTGGGTTCTAGATCTAAAACCAGGACAGTCCTTAGCCAGCTACGTGACTGTTGGAAGCAGCTGCAGGCTTCCGTCTGTCTTGAGCGGCACACTAGGGCTGCAGTATTTTTAAGGGCGGCAGGTTTAGATGATTCTACTTTGCACCACTCCAGTTCTTCAGGAACCTTGTGCTCGTGTGCGGATAAAGGAAAGTGACTGGTAGTCGCTGCATCTTGTTGCCTAGTTTCGCGGGGAAAAACGGTGTGTAGAGATTCCGTTACACCCCCGCCGTGAGCGTCCGTGTCCGCTGCTGCCTCCGTTCACTGACCACCGCTACAGAGAAATAGCTCTTTTCTGGCGAGAAGTGCGTCCTAGGAGGCAGGAAGGTACCAGTGGGTAGCTCTGACGGTAAGCGTTACTTATAGGCACAAACAGTGGTTTGCGCCTACTCGGTGGTGTAGGCGTTATATTCACGCGTACTCGATAATTGAACATTGCGGTATTTGTAGGTGGTTTGCGTGCACGGTACACATATGAGTGCTGGTGAGATGTGTGACTGTCTACCTGGTGACGTCAGTTCCATGGCAATGTCCCCAGTAGAGAGAGAGAGATGAGGGCATAGTCTATTCTCGTCTGGTAACAGGAGCATTACACACCGGACCATCTGGACTCTCAGTGGATTGGGGATTACTGGTGATATGTGGGAGTGTGTGGGTGTGGGGAGGGTGGGAGAGTGAGAAGAGGGAGAATGAAGAGAGGAATGGGTGGAAGTGTGTGAGGTGGAGGAATGGAAAAACGAGTGAGAGAGGGAGAGGAACGAAAGAGTGGTGTTGCTATCCTCTGACGTAGGAATGCTTCTAAAAACACTTCGATAAACATCAGGTGATGTGCAGCCATACAAGTGAGAAAGAAAGAGAAGAAAGAGAAGAAGAGAAGAGGGAGAGAGAGACTAACTGTCTTGGATGGAGGTGAGGAGCTCAGAAAACCTGACAGTCAGCAGAGGCTCAGGCAACTCTCTGAAGAATTGCTTCACGAGATCTGCAACGTCGTAGACTGAGTAGCCCTCGAAATCACAGTACTCTGAGAATGAGAGAGGAGAGAGGAGATAGTGAATTTCACAAATATTTTACGACACACGCACTTGGTAAAACAATAACAATGTACTTTGCAAAAACATCGCTTAGAAAGTAGGGGCGGTCTAATTGTACTTTTAGTGAGAACGTGCAGGAAAAATCCCAGATACCTCCATGACAGCTGGAGTTTGCAGTGAAAAAGTCACTGTGGACCTTATTTTGAGTGACGGGCCAATAGTTTGTGAAAATTGCATTGCACGAAATGTTCTCATAAACCCCCTGAGTCAATTTCAGATCTCAGGGGAAATATTAGGTCCCCGGGGGGCAGACCCTCTCACCTGGGTTCATCTCCATGAGCCCCCTGAGGACCCCCACTCTAGATTTTCCAGCGGCTCTCCGAAATATGCCCACTGTCTCCAGACCTGAGGGAGTGAGGTCACATGACATCACATGACAACTGAAGTAGTAGAGAATACACAGGCCAGAGTGAGGTCACATGACATCACATGACAACTGAAGTACAGTACAGTAATACACAAGCCAGGAGGGTAAGATAAAGCACCAACTTATTTCTAGTCTCAGGTGACACTGGGCAAACACCCCCAGATAAAAGCTGGTCTCCCAGGTCGACAAGATTACATCACATGACATCATGAAAAGGTAAACGTGATTATGAGAAGTGATTAAACAAGGCCAAAAATCTTCCTCTACTTTCCTGGCCACTTATACTCAGCACGAGGAATGCAAGGAATGTTAATTAGTGTAGTTTCTGTGTGACTTCACCCCACACCAAAGGCAACTGGAGGCCACACACACACACACACACACAAGGTATGGGACTGTATGCAGAATGCAATTTGACACTGTCTCCCAAATAACCAATGGAATCGGAACAAAACGACACATTCCTCGGAAAAAGCGCGGAGCATTGCCAATCACCAAGTCCCTAATGATAGGGGTTTACTCACCATTGTCATGGAGATGCTGGAGAGCACACAGTATGGTTGGAGGTAGCGGGTTACCATAGCGACGCACATTCTCAGATAACGAAGACCCAAACACATTCTTCCCTGTGAAAAAAATTTTTGGGTTGAAATTTTTACTCGTTTTTGGTTTATTTCGTACCCTTGATCTCAGGCTGTTTCTGTCTACGTCTTAGACACCTCACTCTGCAGTGGGAGAAGATCATGTGATGATCATGTGATAGTGATCTGCTCACATGTTGACAGGGCAGCCATAGAGCTCCAGCATAGCAGTGAGTTTCACAAGACTCAGTTTCTGGAGAACTGATATCTGCCCTGCCGATAGTTCTTCTATTGGTACCAGTCTGCAGGGAGAGAGATGAGAAGAGATGAGGCAGGAGCAGAGAGAGAGAGCAGGAGAGAGTGAGAGAGAGGAGGCAGAGAGAGAGAGAGACGAGAGAGAGGGGAGAGAGACCGAGATATAGGAGAGAGGAGAGATACGAGAGAGAGTGAGAGATGAGGAGCGAGGAGAGAGAGGGGAGAGGAGGATGAGATATATAGGAGAGAGAGAGATAGGAGAGAGAGAGAGAGAGAGAGAGAGCGAGCAGAGAGGGGAGAGGAGAGATATATAGGAGAGAGGAGAGAGAGAGAGAGGAGAGAGGGACGGAGAGCGAGAGAGAGATTGAGGGAGAGCGAGAGAGGAGAGGAGAGTAGAGGAGAGAGCGAGAGGAGAGAGGAGAGAGATGCTGATAGGAGGAGAGGAGAGAGGCGAGGCAGAGAGAGAGGGGAGATGAGGATCCGACGATAGAGAGGAGAGAGGAGCAGAGAGAGGAGAGATTATGGGAGAGAGATAGAGCGAGAGAGGAGAGATAGGAGAGAGAGGAGAGAGGGAGAGAGAGACAGTGTGAATGTGACCGGCCACGGTTGGTAAAGGAATTCAGGAAACTAGAAGGAGGAAAATACTGACGATCAGGATCGATTTCACAGGAATTTACACCAATTCACTTTCACATTCTATTTCAGACACAAACATGCAAAAACTCACTCACACACCAACAGTACCACCAACCCTGCAGGGAGGGGTCTAGGCAATGACTAGAGGAAAAGGAGCTAGAGGAAGAGCTAGAGGAATGGGCTGTGTGCATTCCACCAATATGACTTATCACTTCTCACTGGCATTCAGACAGCGTTGGTAGCAGTGTCTCTTGCTGGAAACTGTGCCAGCGAGATTCTCGACCTTCGTGTACACGGGATGGGAGAGAAGAGAGAGGAGAGGGACAAGAGAAGCAGGGGGAGGAGGGAGCGATGTCGAGTCGAGAAGGAGGGAACAGGTTAAATTATAAACAACTTGCCAATCTAGGCAAGCACATTGGGTGCTAGTACACAAGTACAACACCATTCATTAATCTGCTGGCAAGTTTACATAGTGAGAACAGAGATCAAAGGGTCTCAGGATTGTGTGTAACTTGATCACATTGGAGGCTGGAACAATCTGGACCAACCCAGAGCCAACCCTATGAATGGTGGAGTATCTTTATTCCCTCTTTCCTTTATCTCAACAGCCAGCCCACAGAAATATATACAGCACCCTTTCCTTTATCTCAACAGCCAGTCCACAGAACTATAAATAGCTAAAATACAGCACCTTATTCCCCTCTTTCATTATCTCAACAGCAGCCACAGGAAAGATATACAGCACCCTTTCCTTTATCTCAACAGCCAGTCCACAGAACTATAAATAGCTAAAATACAGCACCTTATTCCCCTCTTTCCTTTATCTCAACAGCCAGTCCACAGAACTATAAATAGCGCTAAAATACAGCACCTTATTCCCCTCTTTCCACAGCCAGCCCACAGAACTATATAGCTATAACCTTATTCCCCTCTTTCAACAGGCAGCCCACAGAGCCAGCTATAAATACAGCACATACTTAACATATCTCTACAATACCACTGTACATATCGAGTGGGCAGGTCAGGCGAAATGTGTTGGTGTTTGTGTGAGCATAGCATCTGTCACTGAGACACGTTTCTCGAGGAAAATTGCTAAATTACGCTGAATTGATTTTCCAGACAAGGCCGCAGTCGCAGGTTGGCCACAGTTGTACGTATCTATTTAAAAAACACTGCTACATCTTATTCATGCACGACAATAGAAATATTGCCGCTAGTAATTAGTAAATTCTTTTACGCTATATTCCACTAAGGCATATGGTGTTTGTGCTAGTGATAAAATAGTAAATTCTATGATAAAATAACTTTACAAACTAAGGCTTTCAGCAAAAGTATTCCTTTTAAAAGTTACAAACTTTAAGCACTCACTTACTTCCACAGCCTACAATTGAACAACCTCTCATATAATGGACATAGACACCACTCAATAAAGCAGTGGAACCTCTCATATAATGGACATAGACACCACTCAATAAAGCAGTGGAACCTCTCATATAATGGACATAGACACCACTCAATAAAGCAGTGGAACCTCTCATATAATGGACATAGACACCACTCAATAAAGCAGTGGAACAACCTCTCATATAATGGACATAGACACCACTCAATAAAGCAGTGGAACCTCTCATATAATGGACATAGACACCACTCAATAAAGTTTCTGGACTCACCCATGACCAGAGCCGCTCCTCTTCTTTCTCCTGCGAACCTTTGTCACGTCGCTTCTCTCCTCGCTCGGTGACCCCGGTGACCTCTGTCGCGGAGGGTGGGCGTAGCTGATGCTCATCCACCCTCCTCGGTCTCCCACGGGTGACAGACGGCTACGTCGCTCTCTCCCCGCCTCTCCGACCTCTGACCTCAAGTCATAGCTACCGACAGAATCGTTCCCTGGACCAGACCATCTCTTTGTGATGACCACACCCCCTCCCCCGCCATTGACACCCGGAGAAGAAGCCATCTTGAACGAAGCTGGTAGCGTTGTGGCACTCGACGTCCTCTCGTAAGGGGCTTTCCCCTCGCGACCGTTGGCAACGGAGACAGCAAACAGAGTGGATGTGAGTCTCTCTGGTGAGGAGACGGGCTGAATTACAGGGTCTTCCTCGTCCAGCGCAGATGCAGAGTCTCCCAGCATCGACGTGACACTCACACTGGTCGAGGTATTCTCATCGGTCGTCGTGGAAACGCAGCTGGTATCGATTACGTCGTGTCCCTCGAGGGAGAAGACGTTTGGGAGGGAGTGTGAGAGCTTGTCGTAGGAACGCAGTTTCAGCAAGCTGTTGTCAAAGACAGTGCAGAGACCAGATGTAAAACTGTCTTCTTCTTCGCCAAAGAACTCGAGTCTGGGATCGAATATCTCACTGTCAGCCTCGCTGTCAACACTGTGACCACTCAGCCTCACTCCTCCCCTTCCCCCCACCTCCCCATTCTCCATAATCACCTTGTCAACAGGGGGCGAGGAGGAGGAGGAGGGAAGAAGGGTTTCGCTGGACTGGGGCTGGAGGTACTGCCATATTGAGTGGTACCAGGAGGATCCACTACTATTGGAGGAACATCTGTGTCCTCGTTGGGACAAAACGAGTAGGTCTTGACCTCCCGGGTGAGGTCAGTCAAACTGCCCCGCAGCTCCGAGACCACGAGGTTGTTTGGGCCCTCGGGCGAAGGGAAAGAGGTGTCGGCAAGGTTACCGCCCTCGGAGCCATCGCTATGACGACGGGGGTGTGTTTTGCGGCCCCAGTTTTGCCAGTGTTGTCGGTATACCCAGCGATCGCTGAGTGCTCTCTCTATGGCTAGACCTCCGGTAGGATCTCTCTGCATGTGGGATTCAGGGCAGGGGGGAGATGAGAGGGAGAAGTCGTAAAAAGGGGAGGAAAGACAGAGAGAGGGTGGGACAACGAGTGATCTATCTCATTACAGAGGTGAAACTAGATGATGAAACATAAGCTACACATGTCTAACAACTTCGCTGGTCACACACACACATACATACATACACCAGACACAGGGAATCTACATGACGAAGAGGCAACAATCTCACACTTTGCGTGACTAGTCATCCTCCATACACCACAAGCACATGGAGGCCGGCTAGGCAAGCACCTGATGTGACAATAGAAACAGCAAGCAGTGGTAGAGAGAGGGGAATTCCACCATTTAGGAAGCTGCAACCACATCCCCCCTGAGTTCAGTGTCTGATTCCTACTTTGACCTTGGTGTCTGACTCTAGAGTTTATAGCAGTCTTCACTGAACGCCTTGAAGTATGGGGACTGTCTTTGACTTATATACAGGTCTGCTTCCTCTAACAACAGAATCTAATAGGTAGCCCCCCACAACAAAGTGGCTCTAAAGCTTGTATAGCTATGTACCTAATTACAGGCTCCCACAATGTGTATATTGAAGGAAAAGCAATATACTAGTCCATTACAGGACGATTGTTTTTTCGCCAGACATGCTAATGAGCAGTTTATTCTGTGTCTCTTTAAGAAGGCAAGCTTTCCTATAGGTTCTGCACAGAATCTCCACCATTGAGAGGACCGCGGTGCATATGGGGCCATATATTATGCAACAGAGGTAGTTTAGCCTATTACCGTTAAGGAGACCGACTCCATATACTGTATAAGCACACCGGCTATAGTACGTGTACACCCAACAGAGGTTGGATCGCATATAGGGGACAGTGTGTAGGAGAAGGAAGGAAGGTGACAATGGTAGTGTAGGTAATGGAGGGACACCATTACTGGCCACTACTACAGTCTCTGGGCAAGAATGATGTGAAATACGCCTAAACCCCACTTCTTTGTCCTCCCTGCTTCCCCGTATGTAACTTCGCTAACCTTAGGGGAACTCAATATTTCTTCCATCTGAGCTGTCGAACGACTCAGCACATTCAACAGTCTAAACAAGTAAAAGAAGAGAGAGATATAAATTTTTACAAGCACACGCCTACACAAATAAGGCTTCAACGGCCTTGTATGAAGCAATGTTAAGACACATACATTAAGTAGGTGGACCAACATATTGTTAGTCGGGGGACCTTGTACCTAACACACCCGGTTAATTCTGCCATCCTACCTACTAGCAGTGAACCCTGGTCAACTTATGTGTACTTATTTACCTGATTAAGGTCTCTAGCTCAGTCTGCAGCAGAAAACTGTGATCTTCTCCACTTGAAATTGAAATGCTCAGTGGGAAATGCCCATCTACAGAGAGCAGGCAAGAAGAAGAAGGAAGAGAGAGAGAGGAGTCGAGCGCAGAGGGGAGATGGATTGGATGCCGGATTGAGAGAAGAGAGGAGAGAGAGAGAGAGGAGAGAGAGAGAGAGGAGAGAGAGAGAGGAGAGGAGAGGAGAGAGGAGAGAGAGAGGGTAGGAGAAAAGAGAGGAAAAAGTGGAGTGATTTCCCCCTATAGGTGCCACCTGGAAGCCACCCAAGGGGCAAGTAACCCATCAGTTTAGTGCCCTCCTCTCCAGATTTTTGTTGTGAGACCAGAAATCTAATCACATTTAATCGCCAGACTTGTATCTGGACCACTGTACACTCATCTCGGACAAGAGGCTTTGGCGGCACAACACAGCTGTCTGCGAAGCACTGTCACGGTCAACAACACACGTAAACGCCGCAGCCAAAACCACCGATATCGACATGAGAGCATTCGAGAGAAGATGTCATGATGATGAAATTTGGAACAATGGGCTGGATATCTGAGAAGGTGGGAGACTTGGCAAAGCCGGACAGATGAGAGCATTAACGGAATTCGTTGAATAGTGAGGAATTTCCCAGACAATGGCGGGCGACACGAGACGGTGTTCGCGAGTGTGTATGGCTCAATGCGAGGCGCTGCATCAGGCACACATACACACAACTGGGCCACAACGATGGCGAGGGTGAAAAGAACGGGAGATTGGGGACCTCTGTGTGACACCACAGACGGCGACAGAAGCTCCAATTCAAGTTGCTACATGAGAACACACTGCCAGAATGGCACACTCATTCACAGCGGCTTTCTATAGGTTGTAGCTACATAGCCAGCCAAGACAGCACGTGTCCATAGCTCAATGGAGCACCTAATGTTCACGTCTTTGCACGCTCCATCAACTGCACAATACGACACAAACTTTTCTTCGCAGTGAGAAGGAAGTGGAGGATGTATCCACTGACCCATGGCGGCAGTCAGGGTGAGAACTGACCTTACAGGTATGCAGCCACGCAGTGTGAGAAATATCATGCTGTGTCTAGGAGAGGAGGGTGCTCTTTCTAGATGAACCCAGTGAGCAAAGCGACCGCAAATCACCCAGGCGTGAAGCGCTAGCGCTCTCTCTGACTTGCTTACCCTCGAATAGCTGGACGTACTGGGGGAATCCGGCCGCCTTCAGCCACCAGCACGCGTCCACAGCCTCTCGCACTGCACAGAAAAACGGCAATGGGACGGTTAACACTCGACTAACTGCAGGAACGCTTCGCACAGCACACACACACACACATCCTTCCACTGCATAGGGAGTTTGGCACGCGTAGAGTGCAGTGCAGTCAGTGTGTTGTGGGTTCTACAACAAGCGACGTGGTGGGCATGTAGCATGCAGCGTGTAAGCATCCCGGCGAGACAATGTAGTCACACGACAAAGCAGAGCCGCCGGGCTGTGCCTGCAGCTACAAGCTTCATCACCCACATCGACCACTGCACAACTATAAACTGCTGGAGACCTGCAACCGTACCTTGTTCCTTGTGTCTCTGAGCTCGCTGGCCGGCGCTGAACGTCCTCCGGATGGCGGTCTTGGCTCGCAGAAGAGGCGAGTTGAGGCTCGGCGAGCGAGGTCTGTGCAGCTTCTTGTCCACGTGTGCCTCGATGGGCGTCAGCCACGCGAACAGAAGATCTCCGCCCGCTCCGTTGTGCTGTTCTGACATACTGTATATACTTCGCTCCTAGCTATACTATTCAGAGACTGCGTTTATAAACAACACCTTTTGAAAAAAAACTCTTTTTACTACGCTGCAGCACCTAATAATAGCTGAGAATTGAAGGCGTGTCTTGCAGCAGCGCTGCTCGCTGTAAATTAACCACAAATATGCACCGCGTGCGTACTTGTGTGCCCGCGAAAATTACAAACAATGGTCTTCATCCTACAAGAATTTCATCCAGAGCTGAAACGAGTTCTTGGGCGTTCTCCTTGCTAAAACACATGGGCGGCTTCACTTTGATTACATTTCCACAAGCATCGTCCACTTTCGCTACAATCCTGTGTTCCTTCAGCAACCTAATACGAGAAGGGCAGAGAAAGAGCAATAAACACAATTGGAATAGAACCCTGAGAATGCTAACTTTGCCACAATGTCCCTGGCCTTGTCAGGAGCAGGATCTCTGGATCCAGCATCAGAAACTATCTCCAGTCCCACGCACAAACCCAGCCCCCTCACGTCCCCAATGACACAGTGTCTCTCTTGCAGCTGTCTCAGTGTCTGAGTGAGAAAGGCGCCCACTGCCCGGGCGTTCTCCTGCAGTTTCTCCTCCTCCAACACCTCCAGAACTGACTTAGCTATGGCCATTGACACTGGGTTACCCCCATACTAATGGGAGAGAGAGAAAACCGGCTCAGATAATATGTGAGGTGTTGGAATGCTGTATATTATGTATACATGCATGTAAAAAGGTCTAATAAATTTTTGCCATAATATAGTAGCATTAAAACTGAAAATTTTATATGTTGCTCAATGAATTTCATTAAAAGGTGATAAAAACTGCACTTTTGTTCTGCAACCATTAACTACTGACTGTATTAAAGTAAGATGATCCCTTGGCGAACTTGTCGGCTATTTCGTTGGTGGTGACGACAGCCCCCACTGGGTGTCCGTTCCCCATGCTCTCCCCGAGTGTCACGATATCTGGAACCACTCCGTGGGTCTGGAATCCCCAGAATTCCTCCCCCAGTCGCCCCAGACCAGACTCAGCCTCGTCAGCTATACACACCCCTCCTGCCTCGCGCACACTCCTGGTATGTGAGGGGAATATTACACTTCCCTTTACATCAGTCAGATGGTAATACATGGAGAAAAAACATTGTCTTGTTTTGAGCTACGTAGGGTCGCCTGCCAAGCATGCAACAATAAAAATTGTGGAAAATGGTGTATATTTTCTGAAATTTGCCGTACAAATGTACAGGCAGAATTAGATTTTCCGCTACTTTGGGTGGATTTTTAATTGTGGTGCATTTCCCCAATTTTAGGGCAGTTTGGTTTTGTTTGGACGAAGGCATGCAGAGTGCTAGGGTTTCTGCTGACTTGTACACTGCAGGCAGATATCCCCGAGGTAAGTGAATCATTCCGGCATGGGTGAGGACTGTTTCGTGAATGAAACACGAGATGTGCTTCCCATCTGCAGTCTGTCTGTCAATTGATTGCTGCACTCACCAGCATACTGCCGGGCTGCAGTCTTCAATGTCTCTATATTTTCCTCTGTACATGTCTGGAGTGGGAGCCTTGGAGGGGAGAGAGAGAGGAGAGAGGAATGAAGATGAAAATTATCCAGAAGGAGAGAGAGAGGAATAGTGGGGAATGAAGATGCAGAATGAGAGAGAGAGAGAGAGGAAGAGTGGGGAATGAAGATGCAGAAGGAGAGAGAGAGAGAAGGAGGAAGTTACTTAGAGCAGTTCAGAAGAAGGATTTGTCTCCTTTAGAGCTGTCAGGACTGCAGGTGGCCATGGTAACATCTGGGAAAAGCATACAAAACACATGGAAGAAACTAGAGATAATCAATAATCCATAATGATGAAAGGAAATGTGAGGACATTGAGATAAAGGGTTACCCAGTGATAGAGATGGCGTGGGTGTGGCCAGTTGCAACCTCTGCAATCCTCAGAGCGAGATCGTTTGCCTCTGACCTGCAGACCAAAACCACAATTACAGACCGCTCATCACATCAACTCTGTATATACCGCCAAATTATAGAAGCCCTGGCGCCCACTGACCTGGAATTGACGAAAGATGCACTGCTTCGGGGATCGGGGGAGGGAGGATGTCAACTTTCGGCAAATGTGATCATTCGGGCGTGATGAATCTGGTGTTGGTGTTCTAGCTCGCCATCTGCTGGCTGCACAGACACACAGTCGGGGTGGACATGACCACGTGCCGTAGACAAAACGATACTAATACTGCTGTATGGGTTGTGCACACCGCAGGTTAAATGTTTATGGGCACATCTTCATTTCAGTATTGAGCTTGTTTCCGTCGATGTGCTGACTATTAGAGAAGGAATGTGTTGGTATATATAACTAATTAGTGGATCTGTGGTACATCTCTCTCTTTCTTCCTTCTTTGCCTGGGTTACCGTGCGGAGTACTGTTCCCTATATCCAGGTATTTCTGCCCCTTCTCGTCAAATAAATACTGCTTCTCTCCTCGCACGAAATGCACCTCTCCAGAGTCCCGCGGGGATCTAAGACAGAGTAAACAGTTTATACAGTGGCTCGCAAAACAATGCATAGCTCACCCGCCATCTTCTCCCTCGTTAGCTGCAGACTCTTTCCTCGATGCACTCTTCTCTGCTTCCTCTCTCTTTCTTTTCCTGCTACCTGCCTTTTCCTCCATCATGGCTCTCTACCTTATATACCCTGTTTCTGCGGAGCACCCCTCGCAAACCCTCGCGCGGGATTACATCCGTCCTCGCGGAATGGAACCTGACCCAAACTCGAGGGCGGGGTAAGTGCGGTATCTAAACGCCGCCAAAACCGGACAGCGAGAAGACAAGCACAAGGCGGACGGGGATATGGAGGTGGCAATGGAAGTAGAGGAAACAGAGAGCGCCCGACACGAGAGAGTAAAGGAGCTGGAGGCCATGGTGTTGCAGGTGGCTAAGGAGAACAAGAAACTGCTCACCAAGGTCACGGCGAGCGAGGGAAAATACAGAGAAGAGGCTTCTTCTTCGGCCGCCAGACGAGG